CAACTTTAGAGCGTATTCAATTAATTTTATTTTGTACTTTTTAGTTATTGAAACATGATATGGAGGGTAGTCCTTTTGGTCATCCAGTGTCCACAAATATTTCAATTCATAATATGAAATCCCAGTCCTGTCCCCCATACTCTGATTTTAAAAGCCCAGGCCACAGATATGCATATAGGTTTTTTGTAAGTATATTGTATAATGTTTGTTCGAGCGTAGCAATACATTTTTTTTTTGTTATTTAGTTGTAAAATATGACGTATACTGAATTAGGGCATCATATTTATGTTTGCTCCCCCATACATTGCCCCTTAATACGGCCCTGTATATCTATGGTCAGTGCATTATTTGCTTTCCATCTTTGATCCACACGTAGCATACCTAATGTACGAATACCGTAAGAGCGGGATACTTTACTCCAGGGGTTAAACATTGCTCCAAAAAAAATTTTTATTGATATCAATCGTAGCACATTACGATTTTGAGATCAGAGATTGTAGTTTTTTTTATATTATTCTTATTAACATTACTAATTTTTTCAAACATTACGGACATGAATCTATTAGTTTTCCTCCAAGATGTATATCATGTAAAAAATGGTTTTCAAAAACACAAAAATACATAACGGAAAAGTTATCCAAAATCTAGGGGATTGAAATTTAATTTAAAATGTATTGAAAAAAGACTTTTAATCAACTAAAAAAAAAAAAAAAAATATATTATTAAATTATATTAAGTATAGGTTCAAATAAGTTATGACACGCAAGCACTAAACATTGCACCAATAGTTATTATATGCATTAAAGTAAGGTAATTTTAATCATTGTGCAATGTAACCTGCAATGTATTTTAACTTTGCTCCAAACTTTTGGGAATAAGTAAGTAAGTCACTAGTACGACATTCGGATTTTTTTGAATTGTTCTTACCTCTTAACATCTATACATATAAAACAACGCGAACAGGTAATTTTTATCTTTGTTATTGAAGCTATAGTATAGGTTCAAACTAAAAAAGAAATATATTTGGAGCAAAGTATCCCGCTCTTACGGTAACAGAACCAAAGCCAAGTTGTTACTTTTAATGTTAGATTAAAAATATTAAGTTAAGAAAATTACATACGTCGTTATGTTGGTTACTTGATGATATTTTAATTATTATATAAGTTATGATCAGGGCTAGTGAGTTCATGCTCTAAAAAACGCCCAAATAAGTATGCACCTATGCACTAAAAGCTGGAAAAATATGCATTGAAATATGCCTTTAAAAGTTCAAAAATATGCATTTATATGCACTAAAAATCTAAAAATATGTAGATTAAAAAATAAAAATACTATAAGTAAATTTTGGAATTACAAAAAATGTCCGTTCATATTGTTAAAAGTTTATTAAAAGTTATATTTTATTATATTGCAGTTGGTGAAGTGATGTTTTGTGTTTCTCAGTATAAATATGTTGCACAACACTAAAGCATTTTACACTCGCGACTTTTACTTCGCAGACCTTACAAAATAATATTTTACTGTCGGCCGAGAATATATTTTCACCAAATTCATTTACTAATTATTGTCTTAGTCTACAGGGTCAGCGATGACAGTTTTTTTTTCGGCATGATCGATAATTTCAAAACGAAGTTAAAAAATATATAAGATTTTCGAAATATTGTTAAAGTCTAGAATAAACCAGTAAACCTCTGTAAAAGTATCAAGAAGATAAGTCAGATAAGACTATAAGAGTAAAGACTATTTTCATATAACATGTTTTCTACTAATTGCTTAATGCGGGCTATACATTCGTATACGTACGTTTGTACTCACTTTATCTGCTCTATTTTAATAATTTGATGAATTTCCATATATTTTATACTGTGTAAAAATATAAATTATTGCATTTTGATCAAATTTCGGTAAAAATATGCACAATAAAATAGAAAAACGCATAAATATTCCAAATAGTTAAAAAACCTCTAAATATGCAAAAATATGCAACATAAAATTTCACATACTTAACCACAGTACCTTGAAATGGATTTCTATGTCACCTAGCATTAAATACAACTTAGCAAGATTAATATGCAAATGCATGAACTCACTAGCCCTGGTTATGATTTATGATCGTCTAAATAATTACAATTTAAAAATGATTATAAGCGATTTGACAAATCTAAAGAAAAAAAAACACAATTTATCATCATGAAACAAAATCAAAACTATTAATAGTACTTATTTATATAAGTAAAACAGAAAATGATTAAGTATAAATTGTTCAATTAGTTGAAATGTAACTAAACGTATTGATGAAATAATAATATTTAAATAAATAATATAGGGTGTCTCAAAAAGAACGCAGGATTTAAATCTGCTATACATTAAATTTATTTTTCTTAAAAAAACATTACAAATATATCATAAACAAAATCAAAACTAATAATAGTACTTATTTATATAAGTAAAACAGAAAATGATTAAGTATAAATTATTCAATTAGTTGAAATGTAACTAAACGTATTGATGAAATAATAATATTTAAATAAATAATATAGGGTGTCTCAAAAAGAACGTCGGATTTAAATCTGCTATACATTAAATTTATTTTTCTTAAAAAAACATTACAAATATATCATTCTCTTCAGGATAAATTGAGGTTTAACAGTGAAAATCAACATCGGGCATATGAGCCCCCCTACTAGCCCTACAGGCGATATTCTTTCCATAAAATTTACCATCACTGGATCACATATTGCCCCATCAAAGTTCGTTGAGGACACAACTAATTTCTTGCTTAAGTTCCAAGACGTTTTGGTCTTTGTTCTGGTAAACTCGTGACTTAGTGTATCCCCATAAGAAATAATCATACGGCGTCAAGTCGCAAGATCGAGGTAGGTAGCTTTGGTCTCCACGCAGCGAGATTAGTGTGTACCGTACCTACTGTACCTTTCCATTGCGATACAACATAAACAATGACTAAGAACCACAAAACCCCTTTTCAACACAAAACCTCAATGATAACAGATAACAAAACTACCAAAACCAGCGCAGCCAACAAAAAAAAACAAAAATGGCGACCTTTTCAAATCCGGCGTTCTTTTTGAGACACCCTTTATTTTGATGAAATAATAGTTTTCTAAATAACAAAAATCACAAAATAGAAATAATAAAAATAATAATAAATTAAACTATTTGAATTTATGGTTTAATATTAATAATGAGAAATAAAAAAAATAATAGTAACTATTTACAATCTTAAATATAGCTCTTTGAACATGACTGATTTTTCATTAATTATCATAACTATAAATCAATTATACTCATCATTTTCAAGTTAATTAAACTGGGCTATCTTTTAATATTGAACCAATTTTCTTATGAGCATATTCCAAGCATTTCCCTAATTCAGGGCTACAGCCATGTTCAGCAATTGTATTAAAACAGTATGTACGGAATACATTATTTTCAATGAAGGTTACAGCATTCATTAATGGACACAACAGGCCCTATTTTTATGTGCACCACGACACACAATGTGCACTACGAATATACAAGTGTGCACTACGATTTAAACGTGTGTGCACTACGGTCTACAAAACAAAATTGCCAAGTCAGGGATCGGCATGTAAACTTTCTTTATTTTGAATTTTTAGAAATTTGTTAACTGATTTAATCACACCCAAGCGGTATAACAATATGAATCCAGAAAAATGTTGGCGTGAACAGCCCCACAAAAAAAAAATTTCATTTAGTGAGATAGATCTCCAAAACCGGAGAGCGGATTTCGTTGTTTTTGGTCTTGTTAGATTCACATTGGTTAGGAAAAGTGCAGTGAAGATTTGCAGAACTTTATCTTTAATAGTTAATTCACCACAGAACATTAAAAAAAATTAAAACAAATTTTATTGGACTTTTTTGATGTTTTTAATCTTTACAGCTTTGTAATGAATTAACGATTGGAGATAAAGTTCTGAAAATCTTCACTGCATTTCTCCTAGCAAATGTGAATTTAACAAGACCCCAAACAACAAAATCCGTTTTCCAGTTTCGGAGATCTACGTCGCTAAATGAAAGTCTAGAGAAAATAACTCTTTTTTTTTTTTTGTGAAAAATTTAATAATTTAAAAAAAAAAATTTAATTCCACATTTAGTGTCTACCTGATAATCCCTTTTTAATGAGTTATCAACCAACTTTCTAGCTAGATATCATAGTTTAGGATAAAAGTTAAAAAATAGACATTTTGGGGCTGTTCACGCCAATGTTTTTATGGATTCAAATTGGGTATATCGCTTGGGTGTGATATCAAATCTCTCTTATTAATATTTTATTTTAATGCTAGCTAAATTACCCACCTATTCATCATTACTGAGTTACATTTTTATTATTTTCCTATTTAACACAAATTCTTGAAGTTTTCAAAGTTCAGACTTTTTTCATTTCAATTACCATACTTACTTGATGAAAAATCAAGAAAGTAATATGCATTGTTATGATTTTAATTACCTATTAAAAAGTTAAGTTAAGGTTTTTATTATTATATTATGCTATTTAATTTTTATGATTCTTATTAAAAGATAAGTATTTTGTCGTTTTATTGAATTGCATTGTTAAATTATTATATACATATGGTATATAATATATTTATATGTAATATGTATTATGGAATACATTTATTTTGCTAAGATGGTAGCGAGAATAAAATGAAACGTGCAGTCCGAAATTTTACAAATAATAGGGCCTGGGACACAATATTACTTCAGTATGATCTGTGAAATCGATCTAAAGAAACATAAAAAGAACAAAATGTATAGATTTATATAATATATATGTACAAAATGTTAAATATGTTACATACTTGTAAAGTGCCATTAATAAGTTGCATAATAACTGATGAAGTAGATCTATACCACTGGTACATATATGGTGTACGACTCAATTGGTCTACGTCTTTAGCTAATATATCAGCACCAGCTTTAATGAGATGACCATTCATATACCGTCTGAAGTACATTAATTACTTCATTTTTTTTTCCAACGCAGGTGGGGTATGATCAGTTGTATGGTATTGTTCAGAACCACTTCTTTCTATGTAATGGACATCTCTAAAAAAAATTGTCAGAAATTATTTCAATGATAAATTTAAATATTAATATTAAACCTTACTTTAGATTGGCTAAATGTACTATTCTGGTAAAATCATTGAACATAACACCAACACAATCATCAAACAACTCATATCCAAATCCATATTTATTGGAAAAGTCCACCCATTTACTAACCCAAATAAGAGGCTGCGCAGCAGGATCAGTGTTTTCCTCTAGAATTTAAAAAGTATATTAAGTACACTGCTAATAATACAGTATACAAATTTTGCTAAATTCATACCCATATTTTTCATTCCTTTCATGGATGGTTTAGATTTTAATACATTTCCCAATTCTTTTTCAAGGGACATCAAATATTCTTTACAATCATTAGATATAATAATTAGATATTAATTACATATTTTCTGAATCCCAATTTTGGCGTTTAGAAACTCTGACTCTTCAACGAGGCATTTCTAAAAATTAAATTATTTGAAAATTCATTAAAACACAAATAATAAATTGTAAAACTTGCTTTAAAATAATAATAAATTTAAATATTATAGATATTATTTATGTTAATATAATATAATATCATAAATGTAGTTAGCTATATAATTTAAATGGCTTATATTTGTTCAAGAGCATGATTATTAAAAAGAATAGAATAATTAAATTAATTGTAGGTATTAAATTATTATATTTGAAAAAATGAATTGAGATAAGATGGGACATGTCTTCATCTTGCCCCATTGCATTTTTCCCGTCTTACCTCAAACAGTAATAATTTAACTTAACGTTTCTATTAAACTTATAATAAGAATGAACTCTACCAAATTTGCATTAATCGAAAACTAATAATATTTTTTAAAAATTATATAGGAGTAATATTAAGAATAGACAATTATTTACTTACTTATTCACTATTTGATGTCTGCAAAATTTTAATTCGCCTATGGCCGTTATATTGAATACGCACGTGCACCGTATCACTTTAATTATTTGTTGATATAAAATAATATTATTAGAGTGTGTCCAACATAGCACATTTTTTGTAAAAAAAATACTTTTATTTTAATAATTGTTCAAATGTTTATTATAGTACATTATTCAAAATTAACTAAAGTTTAATATAATACATTATAACAAGTGTTCAAATGTACAAGTCAGTAGTCACACCACATATTTTGTTACTTCACACGGTCTCTCTTTAATTTCAAATTTTTCTTCAAATTATCCCAAATTATCTACATAATATAAATGTAAAATGTAAATTGGAAGACTTGATTGAGTTGGTATTTAATAATTTATCTAAAAGAGATGGGCCTGGTCGCCTCATTACTATATCGAGGGGCCATGGTGCAAGTGCTGTCCATAAATATCATATCTACATAATATAAATGTAAAATGTAAATTGGAAGACTTGATTGAGTTGGTATTTAATAATTTATCTAAAAGAGATGGGCCTGGTCGCCTCATTACCATATCGAGGGGCCATGGTGCAAGTGCTGTCCATAAATATCAGCACATATTACATTAGAAATACAAAATTAATATAACAGTAAATTATAAAAAAAATATTACGAAATGTACTATACTCATATTATATTATGATTGTATTAGTTACAAACTCTTAAATTAAGAGTTATGAATTATGATTGAGGATTTAATTAATTTCCTAAAAGAAAATGCCTCAAGGTTGCCTCTGTAGGTCGAGGAACCGTAGTTAAAGTGCCGTCTACCAATAAAGTACCAGAAAAAAAAGAAGATTAATTCAAAAAATAGAAGGTACCTACATCATAAACTTTTGTAAATGCATGATTGTGTTAGTCACAGTCTTGTCTAAATGGTATTGTCTTATGTTTTCCCAATCTAACTATAGGTACACAATACTGAACATTAATGAAATCACAAATATTTATACAAAAGAGAGACTGTGCCTTGATTAACAAATATTTCTTAAATTTACTTTTTGCATAGAGAATATGAAGGTGGAATGGGCTTTTAAAATCAGAGTAAAGGGGATATATTTGAAAAAAAATTAAATACAAAATTAAGGTAACGCGGCGCATTGGATAGGCAATTCAGCTACAACAGAGTTCATTGTTGTTTGTGCACCTCACATACTTGCAACGACTTGACTTCCGATAAACACTTCTTTATTAATGTGTAATAATATTAAACACTATACGTGGTTCAGTGGGTATGTAAAATTCTAGGAATCCGTTTTATTTATAGCTAAAACTGCGAAATTAATGCATAAGCAGATCAGTCGGTTTAAAATGGAAAAAAAAGTCTTCATTTTGTTTACAGGCATCTATAGTTGCCAGTATAAAATGTAGACCGTGTAATTGGATACAGTAAATAATATATAGTAGACATCTCTTTCGAATTGACAAATGTATAGGTCTCGATCTGCAGACAGCGTGTTGGGGTAGATTTCGGCTTATCCACTACAGATGAGCGACCAATTATCGCAGTGTGGCTAAGTTGGCGAGAGTTAAGAAGTTATTGTTAGCTATAAAATCATTACATAGTCATTGAAGATCGATAAAATAATATTTCTTTGTCTGTCTATTCCATTTATTCGAACATAACCATGGCTTACATGTGACTTCATACTTACTATTTAATTTTTCTAAAAATGTTGTCGTGCATAATTTATTAGTATATTTAATTTCAAAAGTGAATTTTAGTTCTAAAACCTAAATACCAACAAGGTCAGATTTGGCTGGCACGTCTATGAATTTTAACATTATTTCCTTGTTCCCGATCAAAGTGAATTACCACGCAGAACGGCAAATTGAAACACTCTTTTTGCTTCCAGTGGTAACGTCATCTACGCCTAAAAAGAGACCGGTTTTAACCACTGAATTAAATCGTCGGTCAACACTCCATCGCGACAGTACCTACAAGTTACAACGAATTAAGAACGATATTGCAAAAATTAATTGCTGGAAATCATTAGTTTTTAATTGAAAATGAAATTGAAGTCTGAATTTGGTGGTCAGACTTATTTGAAAGTTATAGCCAATTGAAATTTTGGGTATTTTCATATATACCCGGCGTACCCGGCTGCGCTCCCTCAGACAATTATAATCAAAAACATCCATCGACTTGTTATGTAAAACCACCATGGGTGGGTGTCAGAATTATTTTTGCTCCATCATTCTAAAACGTTGATTTAACTAGGTTTCCGAAAATAAAAATTGAAAAATTTGCGTGGGCGCTACACTCTATATGGATTATAACTCATAATTTAAAAAATATTTTAGGGGTTTTAAGAAATTGTCTTCAAATTATCACTTTTAATTATTTTATATAGTGATATTATTGGTAGGGTAAGTTTTTATTTTATAATAGATCAATAGAAAATATGTTACCTAAATCACATTTTTTATTTAAATCCCGGTAGTCGAGTTTTGGACAAGTACCTACATAGGTAACTTTTAATAAGTCATATTGTAATTTAATTAGGTAGAAAAAAATATAACTTCTCAAACACGGTGTCCAGGAGCACTGGTGGGAGAATGTATTAGAATGTCTATAAACTTGTGGACCTGCTGTTTATGTAGTTATATTTGTCATGCAAACTATAACAGAAATAGAAAATTAGAATATTTACATTGCAGTACACAAAGATTTCTGTAAATGAACATATGATTTATCAATTATAGGCCGTATTATAGACACTGAGAATGGTATATAAGTTCTATGGTATGATACAATTCTACAAAAATAAAGATAGTGTTAAAAGGAATAATACAATTTGTATTTGTGTATATTTAAGCATGTAGTATAGGCTTATTGGGCACAAGTTTTATTATAATTTTAACTTGTACCTAGCTTAAATTAAATATTGATATTTACATTGTGTCATATAAGCAGGAATTGTAAGTTGAAGCCCTGAAAATTATTAAATAAGCATGCACTTATGCGCTAAAAACTGGCAAAATAATCCTTTAAAAGTTCAGAAATATGCATTCATATGCACTCAAAATCTAAAACTATACATTAAAAAATAAGTGGATTAAAAAATGAAGACATCAAATGCAATTTTTGAAATAGTAAGAATTATCTATTCATATTTTTAATAATTTTACATAGCAACAATTATCCTACATTTATTATAGTGAAAAAATATAAATTATTGCATTTTTTATTAAATTTTAATTTTTCCGTATTATTTCAATAGAAAAAAATTTATGTTAATATAAAATATCAATATAGTAATATTAAAAATATGATTAATATGCCCTAAAAAATAGAAAAACTATGAATACCTATGAATAAACCTATTAAGCTTCACATACTTAACCATCGTACCTTGGAATAATTTCCTATTTCATCTAGCATTAAATACACCTTAGTAAGATTGATATACAAAATGCATGAACTTACTAGCCCTGCATATAAGTTATGAATTTTAACTAAGATTCTAAACATCAACAAAAATATAGATGCAATAATAATTTATAAGCTATTTACCTAAAGTAGTAATATATAGTACATATAATTATTATGTGACTGTAAATATTTTAATTTATGTTGTATGTTATTGATTACCATAATGTACCCAACAACCCAACCACCCTACCCTTAAAAATAAAAATCCACCATGAGGCCTAGGCATCATAAAACCCCATTCACCACGCCACTGCTCTGGTTCAATGACGACTTTTTTGAGTTCTCCTCGTTTTCCCTTTCTGTAAAACTATATAAAATAGTAAAAAAAAAAAACCGTGATTAGAAATAATATTTTTAAGAATACATTATTATAGAATTACTAAATAATAGTTAATATGATACAAACTTTTTACGAACAGGTCTATTTTGTTCACCGTGACTACTTTCTGCGTTTTTATTGGGATAATAATTACAATCATGATGGTTAGTGTAAATAGCTGCTGATGGAGAAATATTGTTTAATGCATTAAGGTCCTTAGCCACAATATCATAATTAGTGTCCTCAACTGAACTAAAAAAAAAAATATTTATAGTATTACAAAATATATTATCATTATTATATCTAAATTGTAATTAAAATAATAAATAAAAACAATTGCAAAATATTTATCTAAAGTACATACTTTAACAAATATGTTGTGGGACTGACAACAATATTCTTCTGGTTTTCATGATGGTTAAAAATTGTAACACTAGTAGGTGAAAATGGAGGATTGCAATAATTGAGTAGATCCTCAATACTTTCCTTATTTTCAAATACATAATCATCATTAGTACTGTAAAATATACAATTTAATTATTACCAATAGTGTATGTATATTGTATACATATTGAACCAAATAAATGTATGTAAATTAACATGACATAACAAAAAATTAAATAAAACTATTACATAATGTTATTG